TCAGTGGCGAGCTGGCGTATAGTCGGGCCGTCGGTCGGCCACCGCCCTGAATAATGTGTACCGAACGTGATGGCCTGGGAGAGCCTATTAGCGAAATGGACCGTAAGGTTCTCCAGGGGCCGGCACCACGTGACACCTGTGGGGCTTACAAATGCTCCCTTGCGGGCGCAGCCCCTTCTACCGCAGCAGGGTTTCGTCGTACAGGTGCTCCCTGGTGGCTAGAGCCCCCTCTGCCACGGCAGAGGTTGGTCATATAGGTCCTCCCTGGTGGCTGGAGCACCTCTGCCACAGCAGAGGTTGGTCACATAGGTCCTCCCTGGTGGCTGGAGCACCTCTGCCACAGCAGAGGTTGGTCACATAGGTCCTCCCTGGTGGCTGGAGCACCTCTGCCACAGCAGAGGTTGGTCTTATGCGTGCTCCCTGGTGGCTGGAGCCCCTTCTGCCGCAGTAGGGATTGGTCTTATGCGTGCTCCCTGGTGGCTGGAGCCCCTTCTGCCGCAGCAGGGTTTGGTGTTATAGGTGCTCCCCGGCGGCTGCAGCCCCCTCTGCTGCAGCTGTGTTTAGCTTTACAAGTGTTCCCTGGCGGCTGATGTCCGCTCTGTCACAGCAGGCCTTCACCGCCGTGGGTTAGGAGCTACAGAGCTTCGAGAGAACCCTCCCATCCCGGCGGCCAACACGCCGAAGTGCTCACACGTAAATGACATGCAGGCCTTTTACGATGTGTCCATGCATATCGGTGGACAGTACGGTGGTTCCTACTTTGTTATTCCCCATGACGCTTAACCTGCTCCCCAGATTGCGAATCAAAACGTGATAACAAACATGACCGTCAGTGATGACATGATATTTAGGACTGATCCACCGCAGTAGAAATGCATTATGCCAGATGAATCTCTGCGTGCAATTTGCTGAAGTCTTCATTGGCTCAACACATACAAAGTTAGGTTTGTACAGCGAATCCAGTAAAGGGCAAAAATTTCCCCGCTTATGTGCAGTAGTGAAAAACGACACTGCACGTTCCAACTGCAGACCTTAACGTCTAAGCCGAGCACATTAGGCTGTCGCATGCACTGCCAATGTAATCGGCTAGGTTTGTGATAGCTCCATGTAGCCCTTTTCACCGTAACGTTCATCCGACTGGTACCTAATTTGGTTCCGCCACTTCCCAGAGGCCCCTAATATTAAAATCCACGGAAAGTAGAATAAACAGGGGCGAGACTCACCGTTCTGTTGTCAGGTCTACCAAATCGCGGGTAAACTTTATTCTAGAAAGCTTTTTTGGTCTTGTCACATTGTACCAGTTCGTAATTTTACGCCCGGTATTTGGTCGCCTTGTTTGGTGTCATAATGGAGCTAAACACCTAAGTGCGCCAACGTCAAACAATGAAAAGGTATATGATAAAACATGCCCCCGTATTGAAAAGTTGGCTACTTCGAAAACATTGCGGACAAGCCGTGTATCTCAACCGCGTTTTCCAGTTTTGCTTCATTTTTTCGAATTTGCTACCAGATTAGGTCCCCGTTTAAAAATTATCGTGTGGAAAGGTCTGCTAGTCCTTTTCACATAAACATCAATAGACAGGGACCTAATTAACTACCAAGTCTGATATGTGCAATAGATATTATAACCAATAGCGAAACCGGAGCCTTAAATAACGTATGAATGGAGGGGCATCTGACCCTGCGGTGTCAACGAACGCGTCTCCACTTAAAGATCTTCCCCACGCTCTGAGCTCTATCTTAAGGATATCGTCCAAACTTAGCGATATCTAGTCCCTGCATCTCACGAGAAGAGTTTTCCGTTCGTCAGATGGTTTCCTGAAGATTAATTCAGGGACCCCCTGAAGATTAAGTCAGGGACGCCATCATCAGCTGTCACAAAAGCGTTCGCTGCAAAGACGGGCCGCATCCATGGCAACTTGTTTGCTTACGAACGCGGCATTACTTTGGTGACGCTCACGGTGCCCGAGTTTAAGTGCGTTTCGGAGAAAGTTTTGCGTGAATGGCACACTTCATAAACTTGAACGCAGCATCAGAAGCAAACCCAGTGCTGAAATTTCTTCGTGAAATCACTTGATACGACAAACTTTCATTTCCTGATATACTGGTCTGAGGCAAAGGCAGTCAGAAACTTCAGTGAATCGCAGCTCCCCTGATGTCGGCATTTGCTTAAATGCCGATGGCGGATGTCCACGTTTTTCAATAGAAGTGTGACCAGAGCTTCCGACGCAGAGCGTTCCGGAGCCTGTTTTTTTTGGGGGGGGGGGATTTGTTGCGCTCGGGACCCGATGCGCAAGCAATACGTATGTTGGGCATTCTGCACTTTGGACATTGCACATGATGACGCGGACTCTTCCATCCCGAGCCATTTTGGAAGTTGTTTCTCGCTTTGGACGTTGTATACTTTGGTCAATAGGAGCTTTTGACATTCCGCACGTTGGACATTCTGTGCTTTGAACACTGGGTAGTTTTGGACATTGCGCACTTGGGTAGCATGAACATGTCCAGTCGAATTTATTTTGTAAGTTATTTCTAATTTTGGACTCTACATGCTTTGGACATTATGGACATTGGGCACTTCACACACAGGACATACCATGCTTTGGACATTCTGCACCTTGGACATTCTGTATATTTGACATTTTGTATCCTGGACAATCGATACGGGCCCGTTGTTGCGGCGCACACAATGAACGAGGGGTCATTGGAACTCATGATGGATATTGGTAAGGCTTCTTTGAGAGCGGATGTGTTTCGTGTTGAATTATTGATCTTGATCAGGTCATATGTATCTGGATTTTTGTAAAATAAAAAAAATCAGTAGCTTAATTTTGCCCCGAGGTCTGGTGTAAACGCAGTTTTGTACACTGTGCCGTTGATAAAAACTACCATAGAAGTGACAATCCATTTCTAGACCCTCAGTTCGTGGAGAGGATATGACATTTGCCCTATTGCAATAGATGAACGGGATCCAGGTAAACGCTTTTGCCCTCCCCTCGCCAGCCTCTGAGAGAAATCTATGGCCGACTCAGGGAAGCCTTTGAAGCCGCCCACGATCATGACAAACTGCGACGTCCGAAATCGAGCACCGCATTGTGCCGTCGTTTAAAGTTTAGACGTTGGCAGCTGTGAGTGATAAATGTTCTCAAAGAAGGCACGTCAAATAAGTGCTGTTTTTGCATGCACAGACTGGTGCTTTATACGTATGCATGCTGTCTACTGCTATTACCAGATGACATATCTAGTCGTATACTAAACGAGTGATTTTGTTATGTAACCATTTGAAGCCTTCATACATTCTACTGCGTGAATTTTTTTCTTCATAAAAACGTTGTCCACGTGCTCGAGTAGCGGGTCAAATTGAACCCCCAATGTTCTCTCCAAAATAATTTTCGAACATCGCGTCATAGCCGCGCCAACCTTTAATTAGTTATAAATAATTAAATGACGAATCGTTTGGTATTCGAAAATCAGATGTGCGTTATAAGGTCCCTGACCTACAGTGGGTCAAAGTCAGGCCGTGGATTCAGCGAAGTCAATTCCTAAGGAATCGTTTAATCTGATGCAACAACGGAGTGGTAGATGAAGCCATACAACTCTGGAATACTTTCTTAGGCAACAAAACAGTTAAATAAACAAATTCCATTGACCTAGGGTCAAGTATGAAGATCACGCTAAGGCCAAAACCAACCTGCTTGACTACTCTTGCGCTTGCTGTATAGGGTGCTTTCTCTGGCTCAATTCGACTTTATTGATAACAGTAACCGCATAATACATCTCCCGTGGATCTGTTTAAGCTCAGAATAGGTATTGGCCCAAAATAACCCAGGTCTACATTTCTTTTACGAAAAGCTTCTTTGCGTAATCGTTCTCACTGATTCAAATGTAAAACTCGAAGCAGTCTTTACGATTTTAGTCACCAATATCTTCAAAAGTTCAAGCAAGGTCAGTGACCCTAAATGAGCATGCTACCTTTTCCTTAAAACAGGTATCTAGGTTCTGGGGAACCAGCCATCATAGAGATCCAAGAAGAACCAGTCATCATGCTCATTATTAAGAATATCGATCTCGAAGTCGAGGCAGACTCTGAGAACTTTGCCTACAACTCTGGCACAACGGAAGACCATGCCTACGATTCGAGCAAAGTTATGAGCTACCGTTGTTGTTGGATATCATAAGAGTTATAATTAGCCTCATCAAGTCGCTAGGTGCTCATTTTAATCTAATATCATGCATTTAAAGTACGGTACGAATTCCGTATTGTTGGTAAGTCAGGCCTCCGGAAAAAGCAACCCTGAGGGGTATTGTCTTAGATTGCTCCTCCCCAATGAAAATTATTCATCCCAGCGGACCGAAGCGAATACCACGGTTTGTTCTCAGTGTTATCAAAATGGCTGTATTTTGTAGACCATAAGTGTTTTCGTTTCATCATGAGCCTATTCGTCAGACAGGTTTTCGGTGGAATATAACTGGCTTTCATTGGACCAAATACGACTGAAATTGACTTTGAAGCTGATACGCAAGACAACCACCAGTTTGTAATCACATACGCTAACATGAAATTACGCATTGGTTCATGATGACGGCACAAACAATGCTTCCAAAGGAAAATCCACTAGCGTTTGATAGGGCAGGCGAATGCGATGGGTCTCACCATGACTTATCTCAATTTCCGTAAATTTTAGAATTCACTTTTTGTTTTATTTCTCGAACACAAGGGGATCAAATCAACCTTCTTTACGCAAGCTTTATGGGCGGAGAAAAATTTGGTACCAAATCTGAACTGCTCAAAACATTGGATAAGCAGAAACAGGGCCATGGCTTGCCACCATGGCTATACAAAAAGCTCTGAATTTTCAATCCGGGCACGCTTTTTTGCTCTTATGTGGGCTGGCTATGCGCCATTTCAGGTTTGTGGTATTTTCTGATTTTGTCTCATGGAGGCCAAATACACAGATGTATAGTGATAAATCTATACACCATAGAGAAAAAACTCCAGGTTAAAGTTTACTGTGTATTTGCATAGCCTTGACAAAAAACAACAAGACACGATAAAACTTGTGCCGGCTCACACCTGTTTTTCGTGGCACTAAAATTAGGTGTTTTCCGTATTTCAAAATTATGTGTCTGTGGCTTGCGGTGGGACCAAATCAATAATCAGTCAAATGAACGCTAGCGTGGAGAGGACTACAAGGTATCAGTCGAATTAACGGTAGCGTAAAAGGGCTTCTTCGATATGCCGAGCAAATGGAGACTTCAAGGCAGCAAACTGCCCGACATAGCTGCTTCAGGTGCTCGTGGACAAGTCTAAATATCATCCAATCGCTTTAAAACTTTGCCATTTCTCTTGTCAATTAATCCCACAATGGGCGGCACAGCAGAATTTTGGAAAAAAATAAGGACCGTCTTTATAAAGGGTGCATCGCATTATCACCAGTTTTTTCGGACTATTCTTGATCATAAAAAACAGTTTGCGACTGATGTGCTGCATGATTTCATTGACCGTGACATTAAGCCGGCAAATTTAACCTTGCACGCATTGGTTGTAATGTTAGCAATAAAATGACATGACGCTTCATAGCACTGAGCACGTCAAACATTGTGTAGATATCAGGACTGTAGATTCCTGTTCAGTTTGGTGTCTCTAGCTCCCCCAACTTTGAGAAGAAAGTGGACGAAATCCGGAGAGAAACCGGTTTCTTGGCGTATTATGAGGCTAGGCTACGGCATTTTTCATTGCTCATCCCTTCCCAAATCATTTTGCTAAACCATGCCCCGGTAGATTCACCCTTTACACACATGTAAACAACTGTACCAATTAGTAGAATTTCTACCGACAAGCTCTCTAGATTCCATATGATTTCTTAAATTATCTGTTCTTTGCTTACCTTTACGCTGTAACTGCCAATGCTTTGCGAACTCACGGGTATGTCCGTCTTCATTGAGCACTCTGATACTTCATTACAGCCATCCACAAAAGCGCGGAATATTTCCAAAATAACACCAATGAAGTCGTATGCTGTCATATTAATACCAAACCTCCAAAAAGTAGCGTCAGAACGAAAACCAGCAGCCGTGCAGCTTAGTGATAAATGCCTGCGCCAAAGGCGCCATACATGAACCGCTAGTAAACATCATCTACTAGACGCAAGGAAACGTTGCATTTACGGTGGACGCGATTCAACAAGCCCGACATCAAGAGTGCCTGCTCGGGCGCCTCGCTTCGAAGGTACAGTCTGATATGGCTGATAACTATCGCCTCTAAACACATCTGACTGTTCTCACGCTCCGCTCTTCCTCACGGTATTTCCTTCCAGCATCGGCACAGAGACCGGACCGAGCTCGGCACAGGGGCGGACCAAGCCCGCAATAGGGGCGGACCGAGTCTGGCACAGGGGCGGGACTCAGCCCGGCACAGAGATGAGACCGAGCCCGGCGCAGAAACGGGACCGAGGCCCGCACAAAGACGGTACCGAACTCGGCACAGAGACGGGACCGGCCCTGGCGCAGAAGCGGTCTGCAGTGGTCGTCTGACGGCGGCCTGGCCCGCAGTCCGCCGCTCTCATCGCTTTACTGCTGGGACGCAGCACGGGGTCGTGTCCTGACGGCGGCCTGGCCCGCAGTCCGCCGCTCTCATCGCTTTACTGCTTGGACGCAGCACGGGGTCGTGTCCTGACGGCGGCCTGGCCGGCAGTCAATCGTTGTTTTCCCCCTGAGCATTGGCCGGCAAGCCCTGTCAGACAGAGGACGTGCAGCTGGTAACGGCGGGCGAGGGTTGACAACAGACAGAACGCGGAGAGCTGGTAACGGCGGGCGAGAGTCGACAATAGAGCACGGGCAAGTGGTAACGGTGAGCGAGTCAACAGAACACGGGCAAATGGTAACGGCGGGCGAGAGTCAACGGAGCACGGGCAGCTGGTAACAGCGGGCGAGAACCGGCGACAGACGCAGCCGAGTACAGACGTCGGCCTGCGCAGCGTACTAAATAGGTTCTGGGTGCCGTTGCTGCAATGCAGTTCATCCGTAGTCCATTCTCATTCCCATGTGCAATGCGCGTGTGATGAGAAGGCTGGGGAACTCTTCCATTTTGAGACCAACGCTAGTGCGAGCTAATGACGTACATCTGATACTGTCACTGAACACTGTCTACCACCGACTTTTGTCATGGGGTGATGCTTCACATCAGGTGAGATGAGAAGACTTGGGGTGAATCATTGTCTCAACGGTGCCAAACCACCAGGTGACAGTGGCCTTGAGCCTGGCATTGATCCCACAGACCTATTGTGAGGTCACGCCGTATCGATTGTGGCAGATGAATACACAGTGGCGCGACGAATGCCTATGGCAGGTATCGGGTGGCAGGTATTGGTCATCAGTCTGAGTGCCCTTGAATCCAAGTCATGTGCACCGCATAGCAGCTGGCTACTAAGCTGGCAGGACGGCCATCAGATCTGGCATTGTTAGGGATGCGAAAGATTCGTGGCCAGAGGTCGTCGAGGGCGACACAAGAGCTCACACCAGGTAGAATACAGTTTGGAAAACCGTAGAATGTCACTAAACGCTCTGCCGATAGCATGAATATCCCCATCTGCGTCTGATTTACCATTTCATGCATGCCATTCTGCCCTTTACCGCATGCAATTAGCAGATCAAAACAGCAAAGCAATGCGCTTTTAACCTTAAGCGCGTTGTTCGGCTGATACACATACACGATAATATGACAAAGTCTTGAAGCTTAATACAAAAAGCAAAAGCACTTTTTAAATCACAGAAGCTGCCAAGAAAACAGCAAATCCATTAATATTCGTAGCTAAGGTTTTTCGCGACCACTCCGTTCTAGCATTCACATTTTGGTTTAGCTTTGAGGCTGTCGCTGTTGCCACGAGGCGAGTTGACGAAATTCATCAGTGCGGTGACATTTGAGGCCATTTTGGTGGTCAGGAATCGTGGCTGAAAGTCCACCCGCTGGCTTGTTTTGACCACACAGAGCAGTTCCAGCTCCATCCAATTTGGACGCTCGTCTGGGCGGCGACGAGAGGGAGAAGGCGCGTGTCTGGGCAGTGACGAGGGAGAGCAGACACGTGTCTGGGCGGTTACTAGGAAGAGTAGACGCGTATCTGGAGGTGACGAAGGAGGGTAGATGCGTGTCTGGGCGGTGACGAGGGAGAGTAGACGTGCGTCTGGGCGGTGATGAGCGAGATTAGACGCGTGTCTGGCGGTGACGAGAGAGATTAGACGCGTGTCTGGGCAGCGACGAGGGAGAGAAGACACCCGTCTGGGCGGTGATAACAGAGAGCTGACGTTTGCCACAACATACGCCGGAGACGCTGCTCCTCTTCTACCAGACAACAAGAGCGAAGGCGTCTCTCAGAGGTCCCTCGTCACCACAGGAGCTTTCCCTGGTTCGAGCAGTGCCCACGGGAGCTCCCCCCGGTTCGAGCAGTGCCCACGGGAGCTCCCCCGGTTCGAGCAGTGCCCCGTCCGCCAGGACAGCTTACCGTCAGATCAAGCCCGCCGGGACAGCGTACCGCCAGATCAAGCCCGCCGGGACAGCGTATCGCCAGATCAAGCCCGCCAGGACAGCTTACCGCCAGATCAAGCCCGCCGGGACAGCGTATCGCCAGATCAAGGCCTGCCAGGACAGCGGAACCGCTAGATCAAGCCCGCGGGACAGGCGTATCGCCAGATCACGCCCGCAGGACAGCGTACCGCCAGATCAAGCCCGCCGGGACAGCGTACCGCCAGATCAAGCCCGCCGGGACAGCGTATCGCCAGATCAAGCCCGCCGGGACAGCGTATCGCCAGATCAAGCCCGCCGGGACAGCGTACCGCCAGATCAAGCCCGCCGGGACAGCGTATCGCCAGATCAAGCTCGCCAGGACAGCGGACCGCCAGAGTTAGCCCGCCAGGACAGCTTACCGCCAGATCAAGCCCGCCGGGACAGCGTATCGCCAGATCAAGCCCGCCAGGACAGCGGACCGCCAGATCAAGCCCGCCAGGACAGCGGACCGCCAGGGCCGTGGGTGCCAGAGGTGGCGGATCTGGTGTGCCTGAGTCGTCTGCTCCGGCCGACATCGTTGCACCATTACCCGTAAGTCCACGATGCTGTTGCCACCACTAGCTGAGCGGTGGGCATTCCCAGCTCTGCAGCCAATGGCCGTTACCGTGCATTTATGGGCATCAGCAGCCGGCAGCTGGATCAGCGACGCTCACGTCCCCCTGACTGCACAGGCGAAGGAACGAGGAGCCGGGCGAACCATGGCCTAACAACTTTTCGCGGAAGTTTGATATTAATCCTGTGGTGCTGCATGGGAACAATGGACTTCAGAAGCGGTTTCCCCACAAGTTTTTTAACGTTCGCACGCCTCTACGAGGCTGCCAGATCCTACGTGCCGCTGAAGTCCACCCGATGGCAGCGGCCCGAGTTTTCATTTTATCCTGTCTTTCTGCGCAGCCTGAACCGCGGCAAGTAAGAACAACGAAAATTTTCCAATTGATCGCCGCACCGGGAGGAGTGTTATTAGTTTAGAGCCCTCACGTCCGACAGCAGCGTTATCCCGGTTGATACTATCGCCATCGCCGCATTCGCGGCCGGCTAGCTATCTCCGGCGATCTGGTCGCCGCTCGCCCGGGCCGGGCGCCTGATGAGCCCCGCCGCCGGCCAATTTCGCCGCCCGGGCCGGCCGGCCAGCGCGCCGTCGCCGTCATTAGGCGCCGCCGAACGTCCGGAGCCAGCCGGCCGGCCGGCGGCACGTTCGGCCGGCCGCCGTAGCTCAGTTACGCTGCCAGCGCGGAGGGGCCGCACGGCCGGACCGGCGCCGCGCCGCCGCCCCCCTCCGCTGGGACACGCGGCACCACCGGCCGTCCACGACATAACGGGGAGAAGGACATGTGCCAGGTATCCACCAGATTACCGCAGGAAGCGTGACACAAGAGGCTTGAAGTAAATTGTGGAGGGGGACGCGGCGCAGGCCAGCCCTTGGATAACAGAATGACGCGCAGCACCAATTACTGTCCAGCGGATAGCGGACGGGCACTTGTTAAAACTGGTCGTGCCCTTGATAAATTAAGGGGTGTATCCTGATAACGGCCGTCCACTGGGTAGCGGGGACGCAGGGAGGGCACGGCAGCCGGAACGATTTCAAAGTGTGTGTGTGTGTGTGTGTGTGTGTGTGTGTGTGTGTGTGTGTGTGTGTGTGTGTGTGTGTGTGTGTGTGTGTGTGTGTGTGTGTGTATGTGTGTGTGTGTGTGTGTGTGTGTGTGTGTGTGTGTGTGTGTGTGTGTGTGTGTGTGTGTGTGTGTGTGTGTGTGTGTGTGTGTGTGTGTGTGTGGTGTGTGTGTGTGTGGGTGTGTGTGTGTGTGTGTGTGTGTGTGTGTGTGTGTGTGTGTGTGTGTGTGTGTGTGTGTGTGTGTGTGTGTGTGTTGAGAGGGACAACAGACGCTTGCCAATCCTTCTTCCTCTTTTTCTCTCGGGACTCTTCTGACCACTATATATTCGAACTGGGTGACAATGGTGCTTTGTATTGCTGAAATATTCATTATCGACGCCAATACGTGATCATGTGCGAGGTCGCATGTCAACAAAACCGTTGGATCTGTTCCCCTTGGGCTCTGTTTTGCCATTTTTGTTTCTATAATATGGCTTTATATGCATTTTGCAGTCACACTCATGCGATGGTGCTTGAAAGTAAGCATTATCAACATAATGTAACACCCAAGTCCTCATACCCGTGTGGTCCTCTTTAACGAGTACGATACCAAGGAAAGAAATAAATGAGGAAAGAAATGTCCGAAGTGTAAATACATCAATTTAATCAGCACTGATGTCGAGCATGAGCCGACTGCCATTGATGCTTCTCCCATTACCTACCGCACCCCTGCAGTAACTCTTTGACATTACACCGGTAATCCCGTATTGCTACCACTTCTGACCTTAGGGGTCACCTGCATTGCAGTCGTGACCACTGCAGTGCTCGCCTCGGTCAACGTGTCTAGGTCTATCTAGGTTTCCTAAACCGTCCTTTTCTCATTTGATGACTTCTGACACAGCACCGGTTGAATCTGTAAGTAACCACACGAGTTAAAAATATAACGGTGTGAGTCAAGTAGTGTCAAACAACTCTGTCACCAACGAACATGCAGCTAGCTGAACACGCATGAAACACCATGTAGGTGACTAGTTCCGCCCGACACGGAAATAAGTTACTTTTGCATCAAGTAGATTGTATACTGCACTTTAAGGGACTACGAATGACTAGCTGATAACGGAAATTTAGGCCACCTTTTCTGGATACACGGCACATTACAAGCACCAGTTACCCAAACACAACTATTGCAAAGAAACCATATTTGTGTTTTTTAGTCGTTGTCAAATTTAAGTTTAGCTTTGGCAAAGTATTTATTAAGTATCTATTGAGTTACTCAGGACATTTGCTACGAACATTACGCATAAAGATTAGGGTATTAAATATTACGCATAAAGATAAGGTATTAAGGTATAAAGGTATTACGCATAAAGATGAGGTATTAATAGCCTTATTCTTCGTAGGATAGCCCGGAGACTGGGGAGACAGATGCATGCGTTAAATGATATAATGATGGTAATAATAATAGATGTTCATCTATCTCTCTATCCTCCTGCTTATTTTAGGAGAGATAAGGCTATTTACACTGCCTTATCTACATGAGTATCTGTTGAGTTCGAGATCGTCTGATTTTCACGCAACATCTGCA